ATTGTGGTGGAATACCAAGGAATGTACGGCGAATCAGAGAAGATGAACCGGCGTGCACTTGAGGGACGCGAGAAGGTTCTCGGACCAGACCACCCCAACACCCTATCAAGCCTCAACAATCTAGCTATCGTGCTGCAATATCAAAGAAAGTTCATTGAATCAGAGACCATGCATCGGCGTGCACTGGAGGGACGCAAGAAGGTTCTCGGCCTAGACCACCCCGACACCTTAAACAGCCTCAAAAACCTGGCTATTGTGCTGGAATCCCAAGGAAAGTCTGGCGAATCAGAGGCGTTAAGGCGGCATACTCGAGGACAGGGTTGAGGCTGCCAAAAAACCCCGGAGAATGTATAGTTGCAAACTGCAGACCCGATTGACCATACTTTTTCTACGACTCACACTTCCGGAAGCGCGATGCCCGGTAAGTTAATGCGATTCACCATATCACATGTTGTTTGTCTAGACTCGGGGTGACCTAATTGGGTTACCAATTTTCACTAATGTCGGAGGCTGTTGGAATCCACCGCGGGCAATGGGATGATGTGTGGAACTAACCATAATTAAGAGTGAGAGGTAGTGGCGGATAGTAAAACTATTGGCCATGATCGTGAGAGTGTGTCTTGTGGTTCTTGTCATTTCTGTACTCATCCCCGGAGTCCTATATATACATAGCTCATCCTCCTAATACCAGGTCTGAATCCTCTCTCTCACCGACTAGAAACTTCCTTCACACATACCTAGCATCGCTTGGCCTTCATCGTGCGACATACCATTGTCTCAACTCTGCACTAGCCCCTTAATCTCTAACTCAACAACCATCACCATCGTTCCCAAATCCTCCAAAACTTCTTCCAGACAAACTGTGCTTCACCACCTGTCTCAGGCTTATAATGTGTTCCATCTCTTGAACCTTGATATGTACGCCTAACAACCTCAGAACCATAAGACGCTCAGTGATCCCAAGCGGCCAGTCCGGACCACAGTCCGGACTACAGGTCGGCAGTCCGGTCAGTCCGGCCTTGGTTTTGAAAAGCCTAGGCCAGTCCGGTCGAAATTCTCTGCGGCCGCCAAAGCCCGGCGGCGCCCAAGCAACCGCCGGGTCGAGTCTTGGCGCAACCTAGGCGAGAGCCGCCAGATGCCTGGGGAAAGCCGCCAGATGCCCAGGTAATCTGAAGATATCTGTGGACGGCCTGCAGGCTTTCCACTTTTAATCGCTCGGAACAGGATATCAGGCGCAACATGCACCTGACCCTATAGATCTCGCTTAAGGTAAATGCATGACATTCGGCGATGAACCCCCGCTGTACCCAAATATGCGGTCCTACCTGAAGACACTATACTATTCTTCACACAACTCTCTGGCCACCCCGGGTGAATATGTATTGTCCGCATGAAACAGTTAGTCCTGTTGAATAATGAAATATTTCTTGCTAGTGAAACACACGTGAGCCCTTGAAACATCGGCCTGCGGGTGACCCAGGCCGGGCCCGGTTTTGGTTTGGAAAAGCCGCTTTCCCACAGTCCGGCCCGGCCGGCCCTGAAAAAGCCTGGGCCAGTCCGGCCGTACTCAAAGCCGGACGGACTGGGCGCTTGGGATCACTGAAGACGCTTTGACCCCATCCTCTCTAACATATGTAAAACATTTCGTGCCACACTAGGGAGATGGAAGCTTCACGAATTTCAACAGCGGACGATTGAATTATTGTTGTTACAAGAGATATTTCGTCCATTGATGGATTGAACATTCCACCACTTGGTTTCTGTGGGTTCCGGTCTCGTTTATCAGTGTATTTGTTCATTTTCATAGCGAATTATCTTTCCTGCCCTATCACCCCGTAAGATCCTGGCAGCCACCCTGTCACCCTACAGAATCATAAGAGGTCACTCTTTTGTTAATGGCGTTATCTGTCAAATTTGTAAGTGTGAAGGCGCGATCAGAATTACCCTGAAACCCCAGACCCTAAGTTACCACCCGCATCTTTCCCAATAAGAATTTTGCAACCTTAAGTTCCAAGTCGCTAGGACAGCCAGAGCAAGGCTGTCGTCTCCTCCGTGCTTCCGCCAGCGGCCCGGGGCCAAATCCCCACTTCGACTGATCAGACTACCAATCGCAATCTGCCAACCCCCTCCTCTCACGACTGACGGAGCGCCTTGCTGTGAACGCTGCAGACCAGAAAAGATCCCAAGAATTGTCTACTCGTACAACCCAGCCATGCCGTCGCGATCCCAGGTAAAGTGAGACCGCTTAGAGCCGATATGTTTCCCCGCACCGCATGAGACCGGAATAGTTCCCGAACCATATTGTGACGGGACCCTGCTAGCTGCTGCCGGCCCGGCCAGGCCTGCCTCCATAGAAAGGTAATCATGATGAGCAAGAAGCCACCACTCCGGGTGTTCTAGAGGTCAAGGAGCAAACAGCAGACCCCAACCATCCTACCACACCCGGCGCCCGTAACCGGCCGGCCCCCCGGGCCATACCTGGATGGCCCTGGAATTTCCGGCAGTTGGCCTGGCCGGCACAGCCGATCCCAGCAGGCTTCCGAGTGACAGTACATGATTGCCACACTTGATCCCAGGACATACATACATCGACATAGATTGAACGGGTCACTACTGTATGTGCCAATGGCGTCCGCACATGAGTGCCAACAATGCGTGATATGTTATCTTCGCCATGATTTCTTAGGTGGGTTAGGGTTGAAAGACCCCCGGGTGCAGATCTTGGTGTAAATCCGTGGTGTGGGCTCAAATGCTCGCCTAAACAATTGTGCTCTCAATAGGACCATCGGGGTAATAAAAATAGAAATAGTTTGATGCGGAACTGCTATGAAGGGTGCTTGTTGAGACACGTCGCTGGGTATATGCGAGGAGGAAAACGGATCCGAGGCTCGGGGTAATACCGAAGTGGTCGGGGAAAATAGCCTTGCGATCATAGAATAATTGTTAACGTAGGGGGAATTTTTTTGCTCTTCCCGGTTATACGAGCTGATGCAGCATCGTCACTGGTCTCAGATTTCTGAACCTCCCTCAACCCTTTTTTCTTATATTCCCTTCATGCGTACGAAGTTAGCTTCGGATATTCCCTTGCTTCGGCGGGTATTCGGGAATACAAGCAGAGCGCGGTTGGTGTTTGATGGTATCCACTGGCTATCTGATAACTGCTACCAAAATACTGTACTTCCTACTCTGGATATCTCAAGGCTTACCGCAGGCGGCAGACACCTATAAAACTCGGCTTACGGAGCTAAGGTGAGTCTCACTTTGACCTTTCCTGGCCGTGTGATATTTCTACCATATGGGTATTAGCTGGTACGGTAGGCTTAACGGCTTGCGTCGCCTCGCGAACACGGGCCATGCAAATTACATTATGGTCGAGGGCCTCACCCCCGCATTTAACGGCTGGGGAAATCGTGCAGAGGTACGAAAGCTACGGCGGTCGATACCACAAGGCAGAAAGAAGGCACTTTTTGCACGGGAATTGCTTTCTGGCTGTGAACCCCATACCGGATCCTCCACCCTACCGCTCCTCGCTGACAAAGAAAAACGCGCCATGATCCCACATGGTTTGCTTAGTCAGCATCCACCTTCTTACCGGTCTGCTAGCCTCACTGTAAGTTACCCATGTGCCCCGCTAAGTTACCTGGCGATAGCATCGCACCCTTTTTCCCGCGACAGAAACCGCGACTAGTGGACACCACCAGCCTCAGACTTCACTACCGCATTATCTGGCGAGAACCGGCAGACGCCTTTGCGTCGAAATCAGAAGTGGCTCTGGTGAAACCTACAACCGCAGCGAAACTAGAGGCCCGAAAGGTTTGGTTCTGGCTATAATGAGTGGCGTTTTATCGTGCCTCCAAGGCAAAGCAAGGATAAAAACCTTATTTGAATATACTTAGCCCCCTAACGCTTCTCACTAGATAATGCAGCATATCACGTACCGGGGCGTCTACCCATTTCCTACATCCCGCACTGGCACCCGAAATCGGCTCCTGGTAGTAATGTACCTCGCAGACTCGTCTCGGCTGCGCTCCCCACCTCGGCCAGGAAATTTTTAACCGGCGCGACGGCGGTCTTATCCCGTATTGCTACCAACACCCCGGGGATTTGGCTGCGCTCTTTACTTCGACCGTACCCTTATAATATCCCAGGGCTAAGTCCTTCTATCCGGAATTTTTTAACTGGAACGAAGGCAGCCTCCCCGCCCGAATTACTACCAACACACTCCCCTTTGGATTGATCCTCCACGTCCCCAGCAGTACCCCGGGCGAACCGCTAACCCTGCGGTAATGGGGGTGTTTCGTGATGAGGTAGGGGAAGTGGAGCTGAAGCGCTCTGGAAGTGCAGCCGCTATGCTTAGTGAGGGACAAAAAGGAGCTATTCTCGTTACTTACTTCTTAATTTAAATCACTTCGCTTATTTTTATGGACTCTGTGAATAAATCTTGGGTCCATTCGCGGGCAAGGTCTCTTGGCGACTGATCTCCCTCCATCCCAACCTGCCAGTACAGCAGCGAAATACCCTGACGTCCTGTTGCACTCGGGTATGGACGTGGGTGACTGGACAGTCGGGGATTAGAGGTATTAAAGGTCCTTGCTCGTCCCAACCTCTTCCATGCCGAGTAGGCCCCCTAATTTCCAATGAGGGCAGCAAACTTTAGCCTTCCATTCTCCCAGCTATCCAGTCTCCCACATCCATACCCCAGTAACAGAATTAGCATAGATCGCCCCGGCCAGATCTTGCAATCAACTTTTAAGATGCTCGCAATGTTGGTAAAACCTAAAGGAAGACACGAAAGAGTGAAGCAGTAAACCGGCGGATATATATCTCCTAACAGCTAACAAGTCCAGAAACCAAAACAAACTCCACAAATTCTGAAGAAATATACTCTCTTTCCAAATCATGATCCACTGCTATTCTCCCGCAATCTAGAACCCTCCGGATATCCCCTTATCCTCTGTGACACCTCAAGTCGACTATCATGAACTTAATTGTATAGGATGTGAGAGAAACAAAGCAAATCTTCATACCCGAGGGCTGGGAATTATTTTTAAAGACAAGATTCAGACCTCGCATGCATAGTAATCTTTTGTATTGGTACAATGGCTGCGGCCAAGGTACTTCCGCGGCACTGTCACTTCTCTCTGCTAGGCGGCTTTCTGTGGGTAGTGGCAAAGAACCAATATTCCAGGTATAGTTGATACCAGAGTCCGGGTAAGAACTTCACCAATGATGATCATTTCACTAACGGTTGAGAAAGCGGATCGAAGAAGAAAAGACTGCTCTGTAAGACAAGATGAGAGAGAAAAAGGAGAAAGGAAAAACTCTGGTGATACATGTCTCCCCCTCGGTATTCCTGCCCCCTCTATTACTCTCTACAGGACCCCTAACTAGCCGCGTTTTCATCATGGGCATCCATAGAAAAAATAGAAACTTATAATGAATAAACAAAACGCTAGATGACAACTATCCCTTAATTACCTTGTGGCCGAAATTCATGGCTCATTAGCGCTGCCGGTTCACGGCTGCCAGGGTATTTTTCCGGTGCCCGATCACCACCAACTTGGGCTACCCCCGCCCGGAATTTTGACCGCTAGCCTATTTCAGCAGCCAGGAGTAAATCTACCCGCCCACTCTTATTTCCATCATGGCTATGCTGAACAGTACTGAGTTGGTGTATTCTGAGCACTACACAACCTCTGAAGCAGAATGTTTTTCCTGTCACGATTACCCAAATAGGCTAGTCCTAGTATCCTAGCGGCAGCCATGATTACAAGGTAAGGGATTGTTGTCATTTTCGACGTATGCTCTCATCTCCCCTAATAGTACCCCTCTCCATCCGCGAGAACGTTGTGAACGGGACTGTAAATTTACAAGCTATCATACTAGGGAGTAGCCAACCTGATAGAAAATCAAAACCCCCTAGGTAGGTTTTCTGCAGCCATAGCGCGGATTGTTGGCAGAACCTCCAGGTTCTCGCGAGTTCCTACATAGGGGAATACTTACGGTTGAAACGCTTCGCTGCCTCTGCTACAGCCTCGAGATGCATTGTGCGGAAGTCGGTAAATGGTCGTAGGGTTCGGGTTGTGACCGGATGCAACGGGCTTACTATTTTTGAGTGGCAGCCGCAGGAGGCAGTCTGTCGTATTCCAATACGCCATTAGGATTGGAAATTCCTCCACCGGGAATATGCACACTGATGCGGGTCCGGAATTTTTCACAGGCGTCATGGAGTTATTATTGGTATCATATGGTGAAGTGATGAAGGAGTACTTGCACCGGTAGTGTTACCTTTCGGTACGTTAGTTAAATTTATGACCAATTCCACGCCCGGCGGCTTGACCAAGCTTTTGGCAAGATCATGGGTGTGATTCGCTTTGAAGAGAGAGCACCCTTCTATAAAGAATGTAGTAGGCTGGTAGGCCAGGGCCTCTATCAAGGATGGGCCAAGTTACTGTACACTACCGGTATTGGTATATCGCTATCATTTTATAGGTTCAAAAGTATATAAGTTCAATTCTGTAAAAAAATCAGGTGGTGGAGTGTTTCACAATACGCGGTAGGGTAGGATGGTGGAAAATTTTCGCTATCCTAAAGCCATTGTCGCTCCATGTCTCGCACGCCGTAGCAAGCCATGCACCAATCACTGGTTGCTACCAAAATTGTGGCCCCATGTTAAGCTGATTATATTGCCCAAAGTTGAAGAGACCCAGCGGTGGCCTGCAACGCCATGTGTTTGCTTTTGTCTCGCTTTTTCTCAGCCCAGGCGGGGAAGACTTCTGACTTATGAAGAGCAAGTTTCATCCTTCACTACTGCCTCTATACGCTGTCGCTCTTCTTTACCCTACCCGAGTACTGGAACGCCCATACAACACCCTCATACCAACCGCTGAGAGTCCACAGAAGAGTGTCGCCCTAGCTAGGATATTACACCCACTGCTGGATCTAAATCACAGAACTAAGAATCCCCGTACCGAAGGTTGGATGAGTGACTGCTTGTTTTATCGTGCTATATCGCGGGTATTGACCTTTTCAGGGCCTCGCAAAAACAATTCCAAACCACCTCGATAGGCGACAATTAGGCTATACTTCCCGTTTCGGTTACGCTAGCAACATCTCTCAACCTTTACACTCGACGTTCGAAACCAGCCCTACTCGTCGGGTGAGCCAGGAGCAAGATGGATCAGTGGGTTCGCCCTGCTTTTAATGTCTGCGTAATTAGAAGAAAAAATAAAGCGCTCATCTAAGGACATTCACAGGAAAATCCAAGCCAATATCAGCGGGGAATTTAGCGGGAATTCAGGAGATCATAATGTCTCGGGTAGCAACAACCAGAACCTAAATATGGGCCACCAGAGCTATGCGGCCAATGTCGGAACAATATATCAAGGATGTACGTTTAAATCTGATGAAAGAGGTATGGCCGGCATTCTCGAGAGCTTTCGGCTGGGTGCTAATACACTACTGCGACCGGAAGAAGCATCTAAGCCTTATCGGATAATTCCCTACAGCAGGAACCGTAAATTCACAGGCCGTGAACATCTTATTCACTCGGTAGAGAGGCTTTGGAAGCGTGATGGCCACAACCGGATCGCTCTTCATGGATTAGGAGGCACTGGGTATGTTGTCGATAAGTTTATATCCAGAGCTTTTATTAACATGGCTTAGAAAAACTCAGATTGCCCTCGAATACGTTTATCAGCGTGCAAGCGAAAGCGATTGTAATATCTTCTGGGTGCAAGGAAGTGGGGTATTACGATTTAGGGAGGGTTTTGGGGCTATTGCGCAGCGCGTTCGAATTCCCCTAGCAAGTGCTGAGACGGAACAAGAGGGACTCTTGTTGAGCATAAAGAGGTGGTTTGAAGGTCCAGAAAGTGGTGATTGGATTCTGGTTATCGACAACGCCGACAACGAGGAGGACTTCGCTAGTAACAACAGTCGTATTGCCAAGTTCGTACCACAAGGACCCAGAGGTACTCTGATATTCACCACCAGATCTCGCCAGGTTGCATTTCGCCAGGAGTGCGAGAGGATTGATGTCGGAAAAATGGAGCAGGAGGAAGCTCAAGCACTATTTTCGAAACACTTTAGCGGCTGGGACGGATTGAGAGATAAGGAAGGAGAAGTAGTTGCGATGATCCTGGGGTCGGTGGATCACTTACCGTTGGCTGTCGTGGGTGCAGCAGCCTTCATGGTCGAGACGGAAACATCACCCTCCGAGTACTGGACCATTTTCGAGGAGAACGATAAGCAAATGAAGGGGTTACTTTTAGAGCAGTTTAGCGATATCCGGCGCGAGTCTGATATGACAGAAAGCATTTTGGGCACATACTTCATCACCTTTGACCGAATTACGAAACAGATGCCGACAGCAGGGCATCTCCTGCGGCTAATTGCCTTCTTTGATCGTCAAAATATACCCGAGCAGCTACTGCGAGAATCTGGCTTGGAAGGGCTGGATGGTTCGATTCGATTTCGTCGGACGATCGCCAAACTGGTGGGATTCTCATTGGTTACTGCCACCAGACGTGAAGATAAGACCTTCTATGAAGTGCATCGCTTAATCCAGCTAGCGATACATGCCTATTTGTCACCGGAAGAGTTGGATAAATGGAGTGGCGCAGCGCTGGGGCTGGTTTCCCACATGTTCCCTAAATATAAGCATGAGCTGCGAGATACTTGCAAGTCATATATTCCACATGCACTTGCGGTAACCAAGGGTAGAATGGATATTCTTTCCGAAGATCTTTGCTTCCGCATGGCAGAATACTTTCTTCATTTGGGATCCTACAACGATGCAGAAGCACAGATCGGTCGCTGTATCAGATTTCGCGAGGAGAATAAGGATCAAGGCTGGGATAAAGGTCATAGCAGATTCACGCTCCTGGGACGGGTGAGGGCACGCAAAGGGAGCGCAAAGGAGGCGGAGGAGATACTTCGGAATGTGCTGGAGGATCTTGGGGGGTTATTGGGCCCGAGCGTTTCTGACGCCTTGGAGTGCTTCTCCTACCTGGCAAGTGTGATGAATGATCTTGGAAAGTACGATGAATCAGAGACCATGAATCGGCATGCGCTGGAGGTGCGGGACAAGGTTCTCGGGAAAGACCACCCGGATACCCTAACAAGTGTCAGCAACCTGGCGCTGGTGCTGCGATACCAGGGAAAGTATGATGAATCAGACACCGTGAATAGGCGTGCATTGGAGGGACGGGAGAGGGTTCTTGGAGCAGGCCATCCAGACACCCTCATCAGTGCCAGTAACCTGGCTACCGTGCTGTGGAAACAAGGAAAGTACAGTGGATCGGAGGCGATGAATCGGCGTGCCCTGGAGGACCAGGAGAAAGTACTTGGACCAGAGCACCCTGACACCCTAAAAAGCCTCAGCAATCTGGCTATTGTCCTACGACACCAAGGAAAATACGGGGGATCAGAGAGGATGCATCGGCGTGCACTTAAGGG